AAAAATTTTGTCTGCCATGGACTTTAGGTAACCTTTCTCCTAATAACCATAAAACTATTATATGCATACTAAAATACATGAATAAGAAAATAAACCCCATTAATTCATATTCCTCTCAAAATTTATGACATGGTCTGGAACTTAGTAAACCCTGTCTTAATACACAGTGAAAATTTATAATGTAAACAGGGTCTTGCTAGAAATCTTTAAATACTTAAGGAAACATTCTTTGAAATACCCCTAGTCTGTGAGGTATGTCACCTATATACAATTGGTTTACTAGGTGGAAGGAGCTCATTAAAATAACTCCACGAGGCCAGTAATTGTTAGACTAGACAGAGCACATGCTTCAAAAATAATGAAACTCTACATCTTTAAAGCTATTACGTAATTAAGATTTTCAGTTAAATAAAGCTGACCTTCCCCCCCTAATAAGGAGGTTTTTATGTAGAGATAGATAGATATTACTATAACATACTTGAAGTGCTGATGCTGAGAAGGACTAGTCGGAGATTTGTGCCTTTTTGTTGCTACTTCCCGACTACTCCTAAGGTCAGAACTCAGCACACCCTGGAAGGGTGGGGAAGGGCCTTGAGCCCGGGGTGTTGGTGATTCTGGCAGAGCAGATGGTAAGGGGAATGCAGTCTTTGTCAGAGGCTGCCTGCCCAGGTAATCACTGTGAACTTGAGTGGATTTGAAACTATCTTTGATTTTTACTCTCTCCTACACAGAGCTTTCTCTAATATGTTTCATTTTGCGAGACATATCAGGATTTGGACATTACTAGGTTAAACACAGCTAAACATGTTTTGCTGCAAGGTTTCTTGTGGTCTTCTACGTGGTCGTGAATCTCTGAGAGAGATACAATACCATCTCCTAAATGTACTTGGCTCAGAATCCTTCCTGGGGAAACATCTTATAAGACCAGGTTCTTCAGAAACACACTCTATTAACACATCGATTGCATTGCCAAAGTCAAAAGCATGAATCAGCTTTAATCCTTTCAATGGAAGCATTATCACCAGGATAGCGTCTAAACTTCTGGATGGCCTTGCACAACCTGGATCCTGCTGACCTCCCCAGCCTTGGCCTCATTTCTCAGCACAACCTCCCACACTCGTGCTCCTGTGAGGGAGTCACTGGAGGATTTGCTGGAACAGATCTGGGCCTTGTTCTAGCTGTTTCTTAGCTCCCCACTGCGTACCCCACACCTCCAACCTTTGCTTGGATTACTTCTGCCCAGTTTTTGGAATGAGTTCTGGGGGAGACTTCTTAGGTCCCCCGTACATGCACTCAAAGCCTCCTTTATGTGTTCCCAAACCCACTTCATATAAGTCCCATCATTGCATCTCCTGCTCTGAGTCTCATTGGTCATCACTAGGTAGGTTTAGACTCCACACTACTCTGCTGTCTTACCAGTGCTTAACACAGTTATCTGACACACAGAAAGGCCAAACCTATATTTGTGAAACTGTTGATATGATAGCTCTTGCTAGACAGTTGATGGCAGACCCCACTGCTGCTAGTAATTTAGGACCACCATGGCCCACTCCATGGGCTTATATAAAGGGGTGCTTACCTTTAGATGGGCAGCAGAGTACTCTTTCATGGCACAGTAACAAAGAGTTCTATTGATCCACATCAACAGGGAAGTTGATGTGCCAGAAATGGCACATACACTGGAGTTTCTACACAAGGACCTCTTCTTTGACATGGAGACACTGGACCCTAACAGGTGGACATGGGAGGATGATGCAGAATTGGCCTAAAGAAAGGGGAATCTGGTTCAACTCCTTAGAACTGCCAACTCTGGCTCAGGGCCAGTGCCTCAGGACAACCTGGTACAGGTATTTATTCATCATGTCCTTTTTGGAATCCAGAGAGATATCATCAAAGTCTGGGGAGGCAGCCACATCATTTCTTTCTCATCAGTGCTATGGCATCTCAGATTTCTTTGCTATTCTGGACCAACAGCACTGATGAGGTGTCCGTAGCTCCCATCTGGAAGTTTTGCTTCCTAGCAGGCACAAAGAGAAGATAAAGATGGTCATGCTATCCGAGTGTGTGGTAGGGAGAAGGGACAAAAATGGCTTCCCCAGAACTTGGACTTCTCTTGACTTTCAAAGAGTTCTATAGGATGGTGATCAACAAAGCTGGAAACCGTGTGGGAGTATGTGTCATGGGAGTCTAGAAGTAACCAGTATGAAAGCTTCTGTTTCTTCTAAGGTCACTGGAGCAGATTAAGATCTCTAATTCAGCATGACTTGACTATGTTGCTCAAGACTCAAGTCTCGTTCACTTCCTGTTTCTTTCTTCTAATCAGCCAGCACAATTAGGATGGGGTTTCTGACCTCAAAGATGTCACATTGGAATACTGCACAGGTAGTTTTCCTCAAAGACTCTTCCCTCATTGCTCATGACACCACTTCACAGTCCTCTCGGTCCCTACATTTCAGTCTTGGAGCTTGTGGCTGCCATTCCCACCATCTTGATGAGATGGCGGATGGGTGCCTCTGTCTGGGTATGTGTTTATGTTAGGGTGTGTACATACACCCATGAGGAGTCAACCTTTCTTTTTTGTATAGCCCACTCATGCACTAAACTGAAGCAGCAAACTATGCTGTAGTTATGCAAAAATAGCTCCATTTGTCATTGGCGAGCTCTGGGCTAAAGCCACAAAGTGTACTCCTCCACCTGTTGGTCTCCCAAAGGGAAGGATGCAAATTCTTGTGTATTTTTGGTTTCCCTTCATGATGGGAGAGGTAAACAGCTTGATAAGAATGCATATTGCTGTTATTGTTGTCATTTTTTTCCCACAATTGACAAATTCTCAATGAAAAAATAAATGCTGAGTCACAGGAAAAAGCTAGCATTAGAACTCGGGTTTCAGAACTGAAGACCCAGTACTCAAGACCCTCAAACTTTCTGCCTCTACTAGTCTTTTATGGGTGATGTACATGCTTGGTGGGGGAAGGGATAAGAATTAAAGTGTGGTGAAGAGAGAAGAGAGTGAATTCAGTCATAGCTTCCTCTCTGCAATGAAGCTATGTGTTTCCCAAATTAATAGAGACATTATTTAGTTAATATGTGAATAAGACAAAGCCTACTTTGTGATGTCATTTTCTTAATAATTTTCTCTGTGTTTTTAGAATCTGAACTTTTTGCTATAGAACTAATTCAGTTAAACTTTCTAACAGACTTGAAGGAAGGGCCGTTATGATACAGAAAGTTGTATGTCAACTAAGTAGCCCTCTGAAAGAGTACAGCGGCCTCAACGAAACATACTCTCTCACATTGGTTTCACTCCTTAAAGGTAATCTCACACCACACCAATCAATATTTTGCTGCCCATTTTACCATATAAACCAGTGGATGTTACAGATATAGTTTACCATATAGGCCTGATTAATTGAAGAAAAATATAGCTTCTTATTGCTGACATTATGAGGTTAGAAATAGCATCCTATGCTAATCTGCAATGCCAAGAAATGAAGATGGTTTAAATCAGATCTCATGACTAATGCATGAGATCCAAAGTTCTTTTATTCCTGGCTATTTTAGAAAACTGGGGTGTATTTTTACCCTAAAAACTAATTCTATAAGATTTATTGAGATAATACAAAGTGCCTTATTATTAATAGCTCACAATCAAGATTTTGTACTACTGATGATCAGAGAAATCCTGTTTCTCCATTTAAATTTCTTAAAAAATTATGTATATGCAATTAAGTCCCGGCTCAAGGATATTATATTTGACCCTTAGTTTTTGTTTTGTTTTTGATATTCAATATCTGGAAAGATAAAGGAAAGTTTAGATTGCTTTCTGTGGTAGTTATTCCATTTTAATTGTACTCACTGTGCATTTGCTTAAGCAGAAAGAAATATATCTAGCAATAAGGTAAGCCTGTTATTTTTGCTTGTTTTTGTTTTGGTCATGACAAACTGTGAAATGCTGTGTTTTTCCTATAGTTCTAGTCCATGAAATCTGCAATCTTTCCACTTGATTTACGAAGGACCCTTAATTACTGCTGTCATTAGCACCTAGTGTTCAAAACAGTCTGTTAAAATGTACTGTTAGTCTCACCTCCAAGTCCCTGCTTGCTTTACTTAAATTTTTTCCAAGGGTAAGTAAAACAATAATTGCCTTAGTAACAACAATCACGTACAGTGAATTAAATAAAATTCCTAGTTTTTTGGTGTCTATTTCTTTTTGTTCAGAATTCGGCATCCGTGTGTTAAGACTGGCTTAGAGTTTGAGCAAGTGTCCATAAGCAGGGTTATTACTAGCAAAGACATTACCTGGGTTCTAAAAACGATTCACTCATTTGTCTTTTTCTTTCCACATGGGTAGGGATGAGAGACAACTGCTGTGAAGCTTCAATGTTTCTGCCTGGTCATGCACAGTTCTGCAATATAATGCATAAATGTATAACAACAACTTGGGCTTGCATGATGCCTCCTTGGAATAAGGAAATCTAGCTAGGCGCGTCCACGCGGCCATCTTCGCGGGCGCGCGGGCGCGTACACACACACACACACACACACACACACACACACACACACGCTTGCGCGCACACACGCTCTCTGACACAGACACGCACAGACACAGGCGCGCGCGCACACACACACACACACACACACACATGCACAGGTCAAAAGTTGATTCATTCCCGAGATCCCCCAGAATCTTTTCTTTTTCTCTTTTCTGGCAGCTCGGCTTCCTGTCAGGGTAGTAGTGAGGTTGGGGGCGTGGAGGGGCGGGGAGGGCGAGGCGAGGGAGGCGGGAGCCGGGTGCGGGTGCGTGCCGCGCCCGCTCCTGCCGGGTGAAAGTCCGGGCCGGGTTTTGCGCCGGGTCCCCCGGCTTGTCTCACGGCCTCCAGCCGCCGCCGCTGCCGTGTTTACTGAGCTCGCGCGTCCTGATATCACTCCGCTGGCATGGAGGAGGAGGAGGAGGTGGAGGAGCGAGAGGAGGAGGAGGAGGCGGCGGCGGCGGTGGCGGCGGCGGCGGCGGCGGCGGCGGCGAGCAGTTGATCATTGTGATGGTGGCAGGAGCAGCGGCGGCAGCGGCAGCCCAGCCGAGCGTTAGGGGCTGCTCTCCGCGCGGCGTTTTGCAAAGGACTTCACCGATCTACTTTTGCAGTCGCCTCGGACTGTCCATGTGTTTACTTCCCCCAGCCCGAGGATTCGATATCTAGGTTCCTGTGAAATGCAACTGAGCAGCCAAAGTACTTTGAGAACACGGGGCGGCATAAACACCAAAACTTTTTTGTGGAAGGAAAATGCAATAAGCAAGCTTGCCGTTTTCCGATGCGGTGTGGAGTGAGTGTGTGTCGCGCGTGTCCGCACTGGAGGCATATGCTTGTGTGTGTACATGGGGTGTATTTTTCGGTACGTAGGGAGAAAATGCTTGCCAACCACCGGAAATCTCCTGGAATTTATTAGAAAATAATGGATTATAAAAAGAAGGCAGGAGAGGAGCGGATCTCCCCTTGAGTTGCAACCCGATTTGCTGCTGGCTCAGTTTGTTGTGATTCTTTTTGTTGATAGGTGTCTGATGGTATTCTGATAACACCCCCCCCTTTTTCCCTTCGAGCTTTACAGTTTAAAAAAAGGAAACAAAAAACCCACCCCAAAATCTCTCCCCCCTTTTTTTTTTCGCCCCGTCGGGATCGCTGTTTCCATCCATGTGCTTGCGTCTCCCCCGCGTTCCACTTAAACTATTTTAATTCTTGGACCCAAGGAGGAGGCTGATAGGGGGGTGGATAAAAAAAAGTTCTTCCAAAATAGTGTGCCCGGGGAGCAGGATGGGGGATTTCGCAGCCCCCGCTGCTGCCGCGAATGGCAGTAGTATTTGCATCAACAGTAGCCTGAACAGCAGCCTCGGCGGGGCCGGGATCGGTGTGAATAATACTCCCAATAGTACTCCCGCTGCTCCGAGTAGCAATCACCCCGCTGCCGGCTGCGGCGGCGGCGGCTCCGGGGGCCCCGGCGGCGGCTCAGCGGCCGTCCCCAAGCACAGCACCGTGGTGGAGCGGCTCCGCCAGCGCATCGAGGGCTGCCGGCGGCACCACGTCAACTGCGAGAACAGGTATCAGCAGGCTCAGGTGGAGCAGCTGGAGCTGGAGCGCCGGGACACCGTGAGCCTCTACCAGCGGACTCTGGAGCAGAGGGCCAAGAAATCGGGCGCCGGCACGGGCAAGCAGCAGCACCAGAGCAAACCCCAGCAAGATGCGGAGGCTGCCTCGGCGGAGCAGAGGAACCACACGCTGATCATGGTGAGGGCGCACTGGCAGCAGGCGTGGGGCGCGCGCGTGGGGGGGGGCGTGGAGCTTCTTACATGGGGGGAACGGGTGTCTGATTTAGACGGTGGCGAGATGGGCTGAAACCGAAGGGTTAACATTAACTTTTCTGAGGGAAAAGCTGCCGTCGTCGCTACCTGTTAATCTGTCAGGGTTGTCAGATTTGGGGAAGAGGGGGCGAGAGGGGAGAAGCCAGTCACGACTGCGAGGGGCGGAGGGAGCCTGGGGGAGCGTCGGAGTGAGGCACTGGAAAAGTTTCCCCCCCTCCCTTTCTCAGATATGGATTTGAGAGTGAACCCAGAGTTGAAACCTCGCTCCTCCTCTTCACGACTCCCCACCCCACCCCTCGCCGTGCAGCTTCGCCTTCCCAGACCCGTCCCCCTTCACCCACCCCTCTCAGCACATCCGCCGGGTGCAGGGAGAAATTGATGCTGTCGCAGATTCTGGGCGGGCACCAGGCCCTTAACCCCTGGAGGGAGGTGGGGGGAAGGGAGAGGCTCTCGCCTCCTCTCCCTAGCTCACCCCCTTTGGGCTGAGAAAGTCTTAGAGTTTTGTGAATGAACTTTGAAGTGAGTGAGAAGCGGGCTAGGGTGGCTGCGCGCGCGCGCGTTCCTCGGTGCGCGCGCGGATGCGGGGCGCGGGTGCGCGCTCTCGCCGCTGGAGCCCCGAGGCTGGTCCGGCAGGTGGAGCGGCGGGGAGGGTACGGGGTGGGGGTGCGAGGAGGGGAAGCCACCCGGCGCGTGTAGTAGGGAAGAGCTACACCCCCGGCGCGCGCCCAGGGTCCAGACCACGCAACCCTGTTGGGGATTCTTCCTCCTTCTCCTCTTAAACTTGCTTGCCCCGAGCCTGCTTCAACCTTCACCCCGCTCCCCACCAACTTCCCAAGCCGGTCTAATAAGCCCGGAGGAGTGGAAGGTAGCAGTCAGGCGAAAGAGGCTTAAATGGCTGGGTGGGTGGGTTCGAGGTAGATGAGCAGCCAATGGCTTAACTTCTCGGAGAGGAAGGGGCAGTTCCCACCCCCTAACCCTGAGGGTAGAATCCTTTCTCTTATCTCCTCTCTCCGGTTCTTTTGCTTTCCTTTCTGGGGTCGGGGAGGGGTGGGGGGAGGCCGGAAGCTTGGGAAAGGTGTCTGCGGCCCCTTCCCCCACCGCGCCGCCGGGCTTAGGGCTGCGCGAGTGTGCCGGGTGGGCCGGGCGGTGGGAATACAGGAGCGCTGCACGGCGCGCGGGCTCCCGTTCCCTTTGCAGGCTGCCCCTCGATCGGCGGCGCAGGGCCCGGCGCGGGCGGCCCCCTCAGTATATGCGGTTTATAAATCGCGCACACCAGGAGTCTGGTAGTCCTCGGCGCCGCGGGTGGTGCGGGTGCCGCCGCGGGCTTTCGCCCCGCACTCCGGCCGGCACTCCGTGACAAAGAGCCGGCGAGGGGGATGGGGAGAGGAGAGGCCGCAGCGCTCGCTCCCCACCCTCTCCACCTCCCCCCACCCCGCACGTGAAGAGGAACAATTTGTTTATCTTGGGCTTCAAGAATCCTTCCCTCCTCCTAGTTCTCCGAGGCCGCCCAGCCCCTCCTTCTCCCCACCCTCCTCGGCGTGATCCTGCCCAGTCCCGCCGGCTGCACCTTCCCTCCTCCCCCTCCTCTTCCTCCTCCCACATCCCTCCAGCCCGCCTTCTCCTCCCTCTTGGTGCGCGGCCGTGGGGGAGGGAGCGGGAGGCGCTTTGTCCGCCTGGCGGCCCCGCTCTACCTCAGAGGCCGCCCGGCTGGGAGGGGCACTGCGCCCCGCGGCCCTGCCCCCTCCACCCGGGCAGCCCGAGCCCCGCGCGCCCCACACTCTCCAGCTCCGGATCCTGTCCCGAGCGCGCAAAGAAGAGGCGGACTCTGTTTTAAGGAAGAGCGTCTGTCACCGAAGTCGGGGAGGGAGGTTCTGGCTTTACAAACAGGAAGCCGAAAGCCACGGACACACTGTAGCTTTTCTGATTGTACCCGGGGTGGGGGGTGGGGGGGCCAGAGCTGCTTCTCGACTGTAGCTCGCGTGCCCTTCTCCTACCTATTTCTCCCAGTCCGCGTGCTTTCCCTCTCCCCGCCCCCCTCGCGCCCTTCCGCAGATCGGGAGACTCACTTTGTGAACCTAAGACGAAGTAGAATTTGAAAGGCACTGAGAATTTCATGCCTGCCAGCTCCACGCCCTCTTTTCATGTGTTTGTACACCCCACACGCACGAATTGCGTAAAAATAGGCTTTTTTTTTTTTTTTTTTTTTTTTTTTTTCCGTGAGGCTCCAAAATCTCAGCACCACGCAATTTATCCCGACCTTTGGGGATGGAGGACTGTGGTGGCGTTACCTCGCCAGCTGGGCAACGCTGGAACAAAAGCCAGTGCCCTTCCCGGTGCCCAGTCGCTTTTGATCGTTGGAGAGAGCAGTAGAGTTAGCAGCCAGAAAGTTTTCGTGTTTGGAGTAGGTTTTCTCCAGGGTGCCCTATGGGCCTTCGGTGGGGGAGAGGGAGGACTCGTGGTGTGCGCCCCAGGTTATAATACACCTGCAGGTGGAAGGAAATCAAAGATCCTGGCATTACCTGTAAGGAGGTCGCGAGCTCAAGCCAGAGCTTACTTTTGAAAATGCAAAGACAATGCTTACTTGAATGGAGGAGACATAAGCTGTAAATGTCATAGTGAATCTCACCTTAGCAAGTTAACAACAGACTTGAAAAATGATTGCCTGAAAAATAGCATTTGTCTGTCAATTTTGTGACAATAATTTAGCCCATTGATTAAATTGAGGTAAATGCCAAGGCTATGTACAGAACAGTATATTCTAGCTTCAGCTGTGTTTCACATATACATCTCCCATTGATATCAGTGGGAAGTATGTGTGATGAGTGTAATGAAAATAAACAGACTTAATTCTTAAGCAAAGAGTTGCATGTAAATTCTATGTACCACGAAAAGGAAAGAAAATAACATCATTCTTGATAAGCTATTTTTTCTTTAAAAATAATTAGTTTAAAAATTCACACTGTCCCTTGAAAGAGTACTTTAACGTAGTCTATGTATGAGATAAAATCTTGGAAGCAGAGGTTTCAAAAAATATGTTGATCTTCATTTTCTTGAATTAGCTGCTGGATTATAGTGGGGCTCTGGTGAAGGCACAGAATAATTACATTTCGTTCTCAGATTGGGCTATCTGGGAAATCCCAAAGAAAAGCAATAATCAAGCAGAGCCAAATAATAATAATGGTGATGCTAAAAATAAAGATGAGTAGGATTCTTTTCTGTTTTATTGCTATTGTTTACCTTCTTAGGGCCAATATGTCTGAAGTACTAAATATTGATTAGTTCTCTTTCTGCCTGGTTTGGGTTAAGAAGGCAGTCTCATCAGTTCTTTACCTCTTTAGATTTTTCTTATACATTTATAAGCATAGTCATGAATAACAAAAAACAAGCAAACAAAAGGCAGTGTGGGTGAGGTGAAATAGAAATCTTCCTTGGTTCCAAGCTGCTGGAAGGAGCCTAGGTTTTGTGTGGATTCCTAATAGCACTGCCTGTTAGGAGAGCAGGGAGCTGGAAAAGGCCTTGGTTTGAAGCTACAGTATCTCAGGTAAAATGTAATTTCTGGACATGTAGTCAGTCGAATGATCATCACCCATTCCCCCCAACACTTGCACTTCATTTATATACACTTGCCCTCAAGGAGTTGTTGGTGAGAGCTGTTCATTTCACCTATTAGAGAGTCTCAGTTGAAAAGTTTCCTTTTCTTCAAATAGTTTTAATTATTTGTGGAAACAAGAGACCTTGTTCATTCTCTGTACTTGGAACTGAAGGCCTGGTTAAAATTCCAAGGTAAACTCCAACTGACATAAATTCATTTTCAGAGAGGAGCACATTGACTTGACAGAGGTTTAATCATTCAGGCACTTCAAAAAGCATGACCATGCAGTCTTCAGAATTTCAAAATGGTAGTAGCCTTACTTGACCTGGTTCAGTCCGGTGTTTTCATGACCTTTTCACTCTGTTAGTGCCAATATAACTTTCAAAGTGTGTTTAATTTATACAGAGTTTACAGACCGCATAAATCTGTGTGCTTCTTGCTCTGAGAGTTTATCACATAAAATTCAGTTGATAATAAACTTAATACTACTGAGTATTGGAGAAAAGAGCAACCCATCCAAAATTTTCTCATCTGTTTCTGGAACAGATCCAGGAAATGTAAACATACTAGTCCAGTGCTAAACCTCCTTATAAATGAATCTGGTTTCCTATTTCTTATCCTGTTGAAGGTAAATTACTGGCTCTGTATCCAGGTTTTTTGGCAGGCTTGTAATGTCAGACCATGTCTAAGTCTTTCACAGGAATCTTTTCATTGGCCTACCCTGTTCTACCATCCTGGGTGATAGGATTGACAGTTGATTCTTGAAAAGCTTTCCATAACCCACACAGGGTGTGCCTTAAGTTTGTGAAAAACTTTCTGGAATTTAATTTCTCTGTGTTTCACAAGTGTTGTCTTTTAATTCTTACGAAGCATTTTTTTTTTTTTTTAAAGCTCCAGCACGTATTTAGTTATATTATTTATGTTCTTTGGTTGTGGTGCATTTTATTTAGTACCGGGCAGCTAGAGATCAGAAAAGTAGAAGCACATTTAGTTAATTATTAATCATAATCTACGAAATGCTCTTCGGGGTGAGTTCCTTCCCAAGCAAAGTGAGTTTTCAGGCAGGTGCTGTATATGATACTTTCCATCCTGAGTCATTAGAATTATAAGGGCAAGTTTTAGAACCTTTGTAGCTTGGTGCTACCTGGTTTGAGGAAAATAAGCAGTCCAGGTATATGGTTTACTGACATTTCTGTAAGAAGAAAGATGAGAATTTTAAACATTAAAATAGAGTTATATAGAAACATTTTATAAATATCTGAGACCAATAGCCAACAATTATTAGAGAGGTTTCCTGACAGAGCTCTTCCATTGGTTGACATGGTGGGAGAGTG